TGCTATGAGATGATGAACTGTCATTGACTTTGGGAGGGTCACAGTGGCAATAGGAAAGCAACAGATATACGGTTGTTATTAACAACCAGCATTCTGCTGGTTTTCACACCGCAAACAGAATACAGACGTTCAAATTATGTAAAAACAAAATAATTCCTGGGGACTGACTGTCATGGAAGGAGAAACAACTCCAAATCAAGCTTTTAAATTAAAAAAAAAAAAAAGAAAAAACATCAGCAATATCAGGACAAATTACAAAGGGACTTTCTGTCCAGAAAGAATAAAGAAGGCATAGCATCCTTCAGGGAAATATCGAAGTGAAACAAAAAGCATTAAAAATATGAGGGAATTCTATGTTTTCGGAATTTTCTGGGTAACATCTGTGCTTCTGTAAAATGTACTCCTGAGAACCAAGGAGAAAGACAACGGTAATCAAGGCCTGTGTACAACACTACGGGGAGTTTTCAGAGAAGGTGGGTATCGCCCTTCACTGGCGGTGACACACAGCGATCTAATCTTCCTCCTGAAGTGAGGAAGCTCAGAGAGGGGTGTGAACTCACAGCTCGTTAGCTCATTCGCACTTGTTTTTAGGTAGACCTCTCCCATGCAAGGTGCATTAGCCTCTGAGGGCTGCCCTCCTCCCACTCCAGCTGTGCCATGGGAGCACTCATTAGTGCCTGTCCCTGTCCCTGCACTCCATCTGCCATGGTGAGCACACCATGGGAATTTCCTCATTGACATCAGCCAAATCCCTGGGGCCAGCTCACACCAACTGCTTGGCCAGTTTGCACCTGCCCTTCTGGGGCTGCCTGGACCAAAGGCATACATGCTCATGCCAACCCCTTCTACCAGCAAATAGGAATGGGCAGCAACCTCTGGCAGAGAAGCGCTGAGGAGCATCTGGATCAATAGCATCTTCTGTTGTCTCAGCTGGACCTGCACAAAGGCATCTGTCCAGGGCCTCGCTGTGCTTTTGGAGTAAAGTAAGCTGCTTCACATGAAGGAATTCAGGGTGTTAGCTGATGTGCTGGCAGTTCACAGCCTGGTTTACTTGCTGCTAATTGTTTACACAAGCTTTGAGACAA